GAACTCACTACACTTCCTTGTTAAAATCATGTGTGAACCTCTGTTTTGCCCTACCCATTAGTCAATTCTCAGTCCTTATCTTTTTTTTATTTTTATTTTTTTATTTTTTTTGAGTTGGAGTCTCACTCTGTCGCCCAGACTGGAGTGCAGTGGCTGCTCCCGGCCACCACAGCCTCGACCTGCTGGGCTCCGGCGATCTTTCCGCCTCAACCTTCCACGTTGCTGGAACTACAGGCGTGCGCTACCACTCCCGGCTAACTTTTTGATTTATTGTAGAGATGAGGTCTTGCCTGCCCAGGTGGGTCTCGAGCCCGCGGGTCAGGTGATCCACTCACCTCAGCCTTCCAAAGGCGCGGGATTACAGGCTGAGCCACCGAGCCCGGCCTCAGTCCTTATCTTAATCAATCTTTTTGGAACAACAGACACAGTTGGGCATTCCTCCTTCTTGAAATGCTTTCTAACTTGATTTCTGGAACATCATTCCTACCTCACTGGTTGCTTACCTGCTTGGTCTCCTTATCTGGTTCATCCTTGTTTACTCAATCTCTAAACATTGGAGTACACCCAGGTTCTATGTGCACGACCTCTCTGTCTACACTAACTCCCTTGGTGAACTATTCTATTTCATGTTCTCTAATGTGTATCTCTGGTTCTGAACTCTGGACTTGTATACCTAACTCTTGAATAAGCATCTCAAAATTTACATGTCCAAAACTGAGATCTTTCTAAAACATTTTATTTAATTTATAGAGACAAGGTCTTGCTATGTTGCTCTAGCTGGTCTCAAACTCCTGGTCTCAAGCAGTCCTCCCATGGTGCTGGGATTATAGGCATGAGCCACTGTGCTGGGCCCAGAACTGAACTCTTGATTCCTCCCTTGTTCTGACCTGCTCTTTTTTTCAGCCATGTCCATCTCAGTGAATAGCAACTTTGTCCTTTCAGTTGCTCAGAACAAAAATCTCGGAGTCATCCTTGACTCATCTGTTTTCTTACACTCCCTGTCAAGTCAATCAGCAAATCCTGTCCTTCGGTCTTCAAAATATATGGAGGGTCTGATCCATTCTCACACTCTGTGGCTCCATGCTGGTCGGAGTCACCATCGCCTGGCCTGCAGTAGCTTCTTGGAGTCTCATTTTGTTATCCTGGCTGGAGTGCAGCGGCATGCTCACGGCTACCACCGCCTTGACCTTCTGGACTCAGGCTATCCTTCCGCCTCAGCCTTCCAATTAACTAGAACTACAGGTGTGCGCCTCTACACACCGCTAATTTTTTAATTTTATTGTAGGAATGGGGTCTCATCAAGTAACCCAGGCTGGTCTCGAATCCTGGGCTCTCACTTCCGCCTTAGTAGTAGTTAGTAGCCTTAGTAGCTATTAGTAGCCTTCTAACAGCTCTCCCTGCTTTCGCCCTGGCCCCTCAAAGTCTATTCTCCACACAGCAGCCAGAACCATCCTTTCTAAAACAGAAGTCAGATCATTTCATTCCTCTGCTTGAATTTTCCAATTAAATCCCATCTCAGTCAAAGTGAAGGCCAAATCTTTATGGTGGCCTGCAGGCTCGGTATGATCTGACCATGTTCCTTCCTGGTCCTCCATCGCCTACCACTCTCTCCTTGTGGATTCCTCCCCTCTAGCCAACACTGGCCTTCTTGCTAATCCTTTTAATGCACCAAGCACGCTTCTTTCTAAGGGCCTGTGCATCTGCTTTTCTGTCTCCCCCCCGCCCCTGAATTGGAGTCTCTCACTCTGTTGCCCTGGCTTGAGTGCAGTGGCATGCTCACGGCTACCGCAGCCTCGACCTGCTGGGCTCAGGCGATCCTTCCGCCCCAGCCTTCCAAGTGGCTGGAACCACAGGTGCATGCCACCATGCCTGACTGATTTTTTTTATTTATTGTAGAGATGAGGTCTCGTCAAGTTGCCCAGGCTGATGGGCTCAGGCAGTCCTCTCACCTTGGTCTCCCAAAGTGCTGGAATTATAAGCGTGAGCCACTGTGCCCGGCCTTTTCTGTCTTTTGGGATGCCTTTCCTCCAATTATCTCTGTGTATTTGTTCCCTCACTTCCTTTCCCTCTCACTTTATAAAATAAAATCCCATTACCAATCATCTTTACCTTATTCTATTTTTCTCTGTATCACTGTTGACCATGGATGACTTTAAAGACTTGAAGTAGAAAATCGGCAGCAATTCAGCCCTCTGGAATAGGAATAGGGGAGAGATGTTAGAGGGGAAAGGAGCTTTGCCTTGATATTGGGATCTGGGGAGGAAGCAGGGGACCAGGACTGAGAATTTGCAGCCAGGAGCCTAGCTTCCTTTGAAGCATCCGCAGGCAGCTGAGGCTGGAAAGACACAGCCCATCCATTAGCCCTGAGTAGAGAAGGGGCATATTCTGTCTAAGGTGATCCCACAGATTTGTTGGGATGGGCTGCTAAATGTGGGGGGCTTCCTGAGAGTCTGGCACAGTCAGGCTGCAGACCCTTTGGTGCCTCCGGGTGGTGGCCTACAGTGCTGCAGCAGAAGGCGTGTGAGGCAGAGGATGGGCAGTGCAGCTGAGCTCACCGCCACGGGCGCATCCATCCCTCTTGGGCCTATAATTTGGGTTCCCCGGGCCTGGCTGCCCCTATCAGCGACTCAGCAACAGATGAGTCACCCGGGACCCCGGGCCAAAGCAAACATGGGGGGAGGCGGAGGTTTCCGAGGCTGGGCCCGGCTTTAGCCACCGCCTGAGTTGCTCGATCCCCCAATCTCCAGGGGCCCCCACTCTTTTCTTTGACCCCGCCCTCCAGGGCCCCAGTGTCCTTCCCACATTGCTCTCGATACACCCTCCGTCCCCATGATGGGAAGGGCAGCCCTCCACTCTTCTCATTGAGGGGAAGCGGAGATGAGGGGGACAAGCTTGCCCCCACTCTCTCCCTGCAATGATGACAGCCCCCCATTTTCCCCCTCTTGTCATAGCCCCAACCCACGTAAAGGTCTCTCTGGTTCCCGTCCCTCCCCTTTCCTGGAGCTGGCCGCGTGCTTGGGGTATTAGGCAATGGGTGTGCACCCGCAGCCTCTCCAGGCCCCGCCTGTCCCACCGCCCTCTAGCTGCCTGCGGGTCAGTGCTCAGGCCAGCCGGTCGGGCTGAGGGCACTGCGGGCCAGCTCAGGCCACCCAGTCTGCCTGCCTGTGGCCTCCTGTTCCAGAGTTGGGCTTCAGCAGGGAGAAGGAGCACAAATATACGCCCTTGGATTTGGAACAGTCCAGCTTGGGGAGTCCTGGGGTCTCTGAGAAGCTGAAACTTATGGTCAGCCCCTTCTTGGCACCTGACTGTATTCTGGTGCCTGATAAGGGTAGAATCAGAAGGCAGAAAACAATCTAAAACCCCAGGAAGACCCAGAGACACATAGAAAAATACCAGTATCCACGAGGTCCCTGAAGACTAGGGTTTTAGGAAGCATCTTTCCCCTCTTCCAATAACCTGGCCAGAGTCTCAGGCTGATGTCCAGAAAAAAGGATGAGGACACTGGCGGGGATCGCTGAATCCAGGTGTAAGGATGAACACTACCAAGATAGGGCTTTGCAGCTTCTGGTGACCTCAAAAGCCACACATGGTTTGGCTCTTGTCCTCTAAATGGAAAGGAGGGCCAGGAGCTCTAGAGCTCCCTCTCCCCCAGTCCAGAGGTAGGGAATCAGAGAAAGTAATCATCTCTGGTTCAAGCTGTCCAGTGTCAGGGACCATGGCACTATCACCACCTCAGCCTGCTCAAAGCCTGACGCATAAAAGTGATCAGTAAATATCCCAACGAATGTAAGTCGCTTGATACCGTCTCATACTCTTGTGCCCTCTATCCAACAGTGACCCCTGCAGTGTGGGGCAGGATCTGCAACAGCGCAGACTGGAGGCTGGTTGCCCAGCAGAGCTGCACTGCCAGCACCAAGGAAGAGGTGACTGTGGCTGTGGGTATCAGTCCTGTGCCTCTGCTTTCTGGGGGGCAGACTCTGAGTCAATGTGCCTTAGGTCTGCGGGGCCAGCCGTGCCTTGGGCTGCGGTCTGGCAGGGGCGGGGGGCGGCTGGGAAGCCTGGGGCCCCTCTCTGGCAAAAATAGCCCACAGTGGTTAGAGCTGCGAGGGTGAGTCAGGCGGGAGCGCAGTGGCGCCTAACCCCTTCGCTGCCGCTGGAGCTCCCTAAGGCGATTTGCCTTCATCTGTGCACTCTGAGACCAG